TGCTGAGAAGTTATGGCAGGTAAGTCTTCCAACCTAATCTCCTTGTCTCTGCGTGCTTCGTCCCTCAATGGCAGACCTGCTCTGCTTATGGACGAGGTTACCATTGATGCCCTAACCGCTCATTTTTGGTTCACTCTGATTGGTAAGTTCTTTTTTTCAGAGACCTTCCCTTGTTGATATTTGTAAATTTTTCTTGGCCGTAAAGATAGTTGATAGCTTCTCTGTTGGCTGATGATCCTAAAAGCCCTCATCCTGTAGCTTAAATTATTCAATAGTCAAATAATGTGGCTGGTACTGCTTTGGTTGTGGAAAATTTTGGGAAGACTGAAAAGCAAAGTGCCCTTATGCCCTCAACTTGTGGTAATAAGTTTATTCCTTCTGCTTCTGCTCCTAATATTTATCCTTCAGATCAAAATAGTGTGGATTTGACCTTCTCGGATAAAGAGGAAGGGGAATTGGTGCCTTCTTCTTCTAATATGCACCAAAACAAACTTATTTCTATTCGCACTTCCGATTCTTATTTGGTAGATGTTGATGGATTTTGTGTTGTTTCCAAGAAGAAGGGAAGAAATAGCAAGTCTAATACGCTAACCCTTTTGAGGGTTACTCATCAATCTGCTAACTCTCTTTCTATCTCTTTTTAATGTTTAAAGTTCTTTATTGGAACATCAGGAGTATTGGTGCTAATGCCTCCCAAGAGCGAGTTAAAAATTTATTTAGGATGTATGGCTTTTCTGTGGTTGCTATTTCTGAACCTATGGCTGCTAGTTGTAATTTGCAAAGAATGACTTCACTTTTGGGTTTTAATTATGCTTATGCAAACTGCTCTAACAAACTTTGGCTTTTTTGGCAGGATCAGATCCATGTTGAGATTTTAGGGGATCATCAACAGGTTATTCACACTACAATCGTCTCAGCTGATTCTATCTTATTTTGCTCTTTTATTTATGCTAGTTATTGTCGTTGTACTCAGCTTCATTTAAGGCGAACTCTGTGGGATATCTCTGTTAATCTTAATGGTCCCTAGTGCATTGTGGGTGATTTCAACTGCATTTCATCCCCTTCTGAAAGACGTGCTCGTAATGTTGCTTCTATTCGTTTGATGGAGGACTTTAATGATGTTATCCTTGATTGTAACCTTGCTGACATTGGTTTTACTGATTTGTCCTGTACTTGGTCAAATAAAAGGTTATGGGAAAGGGTTGACCGATTCCTTTTTAACAACCATTGGGTTAATAACATTTTGGCCACTCACATTGAACATCTCAATAGGTCTCAATATGATCACTCGCCGTTGTTCTTTCGTTAGGTCATTCATTCGCATTGTTCTTTCGTTAGGTCATTCATTCGCATTGTTCTTTCGTTAGGTCATTCATTCGCATTGTTCTTTCGTTAGGTCATTCATTCGCATTGCTTTCATTTCCAAAGTATGTGGTTTCACTTTCCGAACTTTCTTAATCTTGTTGTTGAGAACTGGAATGCTCCTCTTGTTCCTTCTAATGATATTGGTGGTTTTCTGAGATTATTGTCTAAATTGAAGCGCCTTAGCAATTTTTAAATTGGTAGAATAGAAATCATTTCAAAAATTTGTTCGTCAATATTCGTGATGTTGAATCTCTGCTCATTAATCTTGAAGATAATGAAGTGAACTTTCTTAGCTTTGTTTCGAGGTTGGATTTAAATGAGGCTAAACTTAAGCTTTCCCAACTTCAGCACATGGAAGAGGTCTACTGGAAAGAAAAAGCGGCGCTTAAATTTTTACAAGAAGGCGATAAGAACACTAAATATTTTCACGCAATTATCATCAAAAAAAAAATTGTGATCGTATTTTAAAAATTAATTATGGTAATTATGTCCTTTCTATGGAATGTCTTATAGCTAATTCAGCTATTAACTACTTTTTCTACTTTGTTCAATACAACTACTTCGGATTTGACGCAAGTTTTGTACCATGTCATTCCTAGTTCTGCTAATGAGGATCAAAATATGTCTCTTTGTAAATGCCCTGATATTGAGGAAATTTCGATAGTGATGCAATCTATGAATCCGAAATCTATTGCAGGTCCGGATGGTTTCAATACTACCTTTTTCCAAAAGTATGGAGTGTAATTAAAATTGATGTTTGTAATGTTGTTTTTGCTTTTCTTCAAGGTCAGTCGTATCTTAAGTTTTTTACCAGCTCTTATATAGTCTTAAGTCCTAAATCTCATTTTCCGCTTAGATGGGAGGACTTTCTTTTTATTAGCATATAAAATTTCCTTAATGAATTAATTTCTAAAATATTGTCTAAGCGTTTCAGAAGTATCCTCCCTTTTTTTATTTTCGAAAATCAAACAGGATATGTTAAAGCTCGTGGCATTATGGATAATTTCTTACTTGCCCAAGAGCTTGTCCATGACTTGCATCTGAAATCTCGTGGGCATAATTTGATTCTCAAGTTAGATATCTCTAAAGCTTATGACATCAGTTAGAACTTTATTTATCAGGTCTTGAGATTGTTTGGTTTTATTGACAGGTTTATAGCCCTTATAGCTAACTCTATTAACAATTGTTGGTTTTCTATCCTCATTAATGGTAAGTCTTGTGGTGTCTTTAACTCTATTAAAGATTTGCGACATGGTGACCATTATCACCCGGTCTGTTCATTATTGCCGCTCAATATCTATCAAGGTCCCTTAATTCTCTCAATGTGAATCACAACAATTGTCATTTTAGAACCAAATGTGATATGGTCATATCTCATTTGGCATTTGTCGATGACATCATCTTTTCTAATGGCTTTATCACGTCTTTTAAACTCATTTATTAAAATATTGTTAAATAACTTTGAAAGTTTAAGTGGTCTTCATTTCAATCTTAATAAAAGTTGTTATATTTTAGGGAAAGGTGTGAGAGTGAAATGGGTGGCGAAGGCTTTCATTACATGGGGTTTAGGTAAATATGACATCTTTTTTGGCAGACAATTGGCTTGGGTGTGGCTCTCTAGACTTTGTACTTAATTCTCATTCTACTTCCTCTTGGAAGGTTCATCAATTTTTCAATTGCGGGGTGTAGAACGTCTAATTACTTCCGGAGTTCATTCTCCCACGCTTAGTTGATATGATCTGCCAACTTAAAATATTTGAGGATTTGAATAATAAAATATTATTTTCTACTTCGTCTAATGGTTGCTTTTCCCTTAAAGAAGTCTGGAATCAGTGTTGTACTGAGAAAGAGAGAAATAATAACTTTTTTCCCCTTTTGGGGCATTACCATTTATCCATTCTATTCTATTTTATCTTGGAAGATCTTACATAATTTCTTACTTGCGGATTGTAAACTTCAATATCATGGTACTTCTATAGCCCTAAATGGCATTGTATCTCTAACATGAAGGTTGTTTAGCACCTTTTTGTTCAAAGTTGCATTTCTACTTTCATTTGGAATTGGATGGATTCGATCTTCAATAAAAATTGCTTTCAACCTAATGTCTCTCTAAATGGAGCTTATAAGCAATTGGTTTTCCTTTACTCCCAAGACTTCTAGAAATCATATTATACATTTGTTTTTCCTCTTATTTTGTGGTTCATATCGAATGCTAGGAATAACTCGAAGCATCGAAGTACTAATATGAATCAATCTTATATCATTTTAAATACTTCTCATAAAATTCACTTCTTGATTAAAGCCAGTTTAATCGGTTCTAAAAGTTTTAAAGGCTTTCGGCATGCTCTTTCTGCTTTTAGTCTTCAAGATTTGGAGCCTTTCGACCCTTACTTTGTTAAGGTAAATTAGTTTGCTCCTCAGTTGGGGTGGGTAAAATCCAGTACGGATGGCTCGGTGGCTAATAGATCTGGCAGCTTTGGTGGAATCTTGGGAGACCATAAGGGTAAATTTTAACTACATTTGCTAGTCCGATTAATAATTCCTCATTTATCAATATTGAGTTATTTGCGCTGAAAGAGAGCTTGATTTCAGCTATTTCTCTTAATTTAAGTTGGTAGTGCAACTTTGTTTAAATTTTGATATGAATGTTACTGTCAATTGTTCTTTGAGTTTCCAATTATGAGTCATCATTATAGCTCGGCCTAAATCATATTCATTAACCTTCATTATTCAGTAGGATGCCCACTTTCTTCTTTAGAGGAAATTTTATGGATGAGTTTTAATTATGTTATTGTATGTTTTTTTATTGCACTGCATGTATTATTTATGTTATCGTTATTTTTATGAAATTAAGTTCAATCACTTATAAAGTTTATGTTTATAGGATATTAGTGTGTTGTCAAATTTTAATTGATTTATTAATAAAGCACAACTAAGATTTATAAAACCCAACATTTTTCTCTACCCCTTGGTCATTTTCAAAATTGAATCATGTTCAGATCATCAATGCTCCAACTTTAGTTGTCTATGTATCGAGACATTCCCGCACGTGTGCGCGCATAAACACATACACATGTTAGGGAAATCACACAGTAGAGTGAAAATTTAACGTATGAGTGTGAAGTAAAGATTCAACACTGATAGATAAAAGACTAGTCGTGAAAGGAGAAACCAACATTATTTTACCTGGGAAATTCAAAAGGCAAGAAACAACATTTAAGTTAGAGAGAGTAATACTCTTCTCTACGAGTGGAGAATGTGAGATTGCAAGGTAAAGATTAGACAACAATTGTCCGAGAATAATAATTGAGCCATAGAAGTTGTTGGATGCGGTTGACAATGATCTTGGGCTATCAGTGATGATCATTCAAGGTCAACGACAATCTCTAAAGGTCCAAGGTGACCTCTCGTGGTTTGAGACAATCTATAATGGTGGACAACGTTCTCTTACAGTTGACTGCTATCTTTGGTGCTCGAGGGTGACATGTGGTGGTGACTTTTCCTCCTCAACCCAAATGAATAAATAAGGGCCTATTTATATTTTTTTAGAGTTGTTTTTTGGCCATTTTGGCCTAACCTCTCAAACCAGTTCATCGAACAGTTCATGATAATTTGTGTCATAGATTATTTTCTAGCATTTAAATGTCTTACTAACCTCATAAGTGAATAATATTGGGCTATTTAGATTTCTCTCATCGAGAAGCCAGATTGGATAATATATATGCCAAATTTGAAGTCTGTTTAGTCATCCAACTAGTATTCCAAAGTTTTTAATTGTGCTTCAAGTACTTGATATGGGCTTGATGGAATTTGGTTTTTTAAATCTTTTTTTTTTCCTACACACATGCAAACACACACACCCACAAATGCAAGACCTTAAATCTAGATCTCTTGATTGAAAGACAAAGCTCTCAACCACCAGACAAATGTGACATATAAATTCGAGTTGAATCACTTTCAATGTCATTGGGTTTGTCTTATCGAGTTGCTCTGTTTGAATGTAAATATGTTTAACTGCATCGGGATTCGTGCCTTGTGATAAAAATTTTTTAATGGCATGTCAATATTTATTATTTTTATTTTTTTTCATAAATTGCTAACCACACATCCATTCCAACAAAACTTGCCACTATTAATTATCAAGTAATCTAAAATCCTAAGATGTCCCCATACTTTCCAAACATAGGACCAAACAGCCTTCCTAATACCATAAACTCACTAAAATTAGGTTAACCCCAAGATAGAAATCAAAATTAATTTTTTAGGATTTACTAAACTAAAAATAGGTCAGCTGCTGGACTACATTCTTAGAACTATCTTATCAAAACTAATAAATTTCTTGGAAAACAAATAGGATAATCTTAGCAAAATTAGGTCAATTTTGGAGGCTGAAATAAAAATATTTTTATCTTATTGAAATTAAGCTAATTCTATAAATATTTCTTTAAACTCAAGTATTGTTTGGTTGGTTGAAAAAGTAATTATGCAATAGAGAAGTAATGTTTTGTATTTAGAATATTTAGAGTTGTTTGGTTCAATATAAAATATATGTATTACTTCTTTTTTTTAGTTTAAATTAAAACGAAAATAATGCATTTTACAGTATGTGATGCCTTGACAGTCAGGACGGCAGTGACGGGTGGTGGTGGGCGGCAGTGGTGGTATTGTCATACGGATGAGGCAAGTGGGCGGCAGTGGTGGTTGCCGCAGACAACAATAAGAGGCGGTCGTGGTGTGTGGTGGCAGGAGGAGGTGGGGGCCGAAGTGGCAGGGTTGAGAATCGTGGAGTTGAGCAACGACGAAAGATGAGAGGTGGCAACAGTAGGCAATACTTTACATAAAGCTGTGTATTTTTAATTACCTCAAATCCAATATATTCCAAATACACAGAAAATGAGTTTAAGGAATGAATTCAAAATACACTCTTATTTCAC